TGGGAGGTGTGGAGCAGAGGAAGGGCATGACCCTTGCGATGAGGGGTCTCTAGGCTGGCAAGTGGGAGGCAGGGAGCTAGGGAGGGCGTGGTAGCTGTGGAGGTGGTAAGGAGTGGCCAGATTCAGAAATCATTTGGAAGACGGGGAAGACAGGCTTTGCCATAGATTGGACACAGAGTGTAAGAGAATGAGAGCACTCCAAGATGGCTCCAAAGGTTTTGGCCGAAGCCAGGGAGAGTTGCCATTAACAGAGATGGAGAAGGCAGGGGAGGAACAGATTGGGGTTGGAGGGAATCCCAGGTCGGATGGATCCATGTCGTTGGAGCTGCTGTTGGGTGTCCAAGTGGAGGCAGCAGGAAGGTTGTATGAGTGTGGGGTTGAGGGGAGTGCCCACAGGAGAGGCTAGAGCACATGAGAGCCAGTGTTCAGTATGCACATGGTATTCCAAGCTGTGGGGCTGGATGAGATTGCTCAGAGAGTGAGTCTACCCCGGGAAAAGGTCCCAGGCCTGTGCCCGAAGCCACAGCAGCCTGTCTCATTGGGTGCTTATTATGCTCCAGGTACCCGTGTACGTTCTATTAATACTCCTTCCAAGGAGGTGCTATCCCTATGTCTACAAATGAGGGAGCTGAGGTTCAAAGAAATGAAACAATTTCCCCAAGTCACACAGCCTTACTAGGGTCAGAAAGTGCACCCAGGGCTCTGGCTCCCCGGCTCTCACAGCCCCCATGCAGACCGTCGCTGGCCTTGATGCACCAGGCAGGAGGCTGGCTGGGATGACCTTGGGCAAGGCCAGATGAACTGCACTGGGGCAGCTTGCCCACCTCCGTGGGCCAAGCCGGGAGTGACTCAGGCCTTGGCTGCGTGCTCATGCTAGGAGAGGAGGTTGGCTGTTTGCCGCCCCTGCCAGGCCTGGATTCCTTTACAGGGGAGGTGGAGAACCACTCTGATCCTGGCTCCCTGGGACCTGGAGGAGGACAGGTGTGGGGTTTCTGCTTCCCAGGCCCCAGGTCATCCACAACCATGAGTTCAGGGGAGCCTCTGAGTCAGCTTCCAAGAGGTCTGATAAGCCCAGTGGGTTGTTTGCTTCCTTTTTCAGAAGCCAGTCAGGGGTTATCTCCCTTTGTTTCCCTACCAGTGCTCAGCAGCTGGGGTTCTGAGAGGTGGTATGGTTTCTCCAAGGTCACAGATCCAGCTCTGGAGCAGAGCCAAGAGACCTTGCTACCATGCTGTCTGGGTCATGTTTCCTCTGCCGAAGTGTCCTCTGGGCTATGCCCAGTCTCCTGAACCTGGGGCACACATGGCTGAATTTCTTATGCTCCTTGGCTCATAGCCCTGTGAGCCTTACTTGGCATTTTTTGCCTCTTAGGAAGTGGGTTCCTAATTCTGGCTTCTCCACGTACTGGCTGTGTGACTTTGGGCAATTTACCTAACCTCTCTGAAGTGGTTCCCACAGCTATGAAATGGAGGCAGCAACACCTGTCTCATGGAGTTGTAGTAAAGATTAAATGTGAAAGCACGTGGCAAAAGCTCATAAACCTGTCGCCTACTTGCCTCAATCCTTTCAGGTATTTTAAACTGCTTTTCATTTGAGCAGTGCTAGTTATAAAAGGCAGCCTGGCAGGGACAACTGTGACCCTGCTCCCAGGCACATCACAGCCAGGGCCTCAGACTCTGCCCTGAACTTAGCCAGGGGGAGAAAGGGAAAGTGCTCTGAGAATTGGGAATCTCTATAGTCCACCTGGTTCTATAGGCAGCCTGGGAGTCTCAGACCTTATAAAGTCTTGTGGAAATGGTGCTTCTGTAAATCAAAATGTTTCCCATTACTGTTTCTGAGCCACTCTCCTCATCTACAGAACCACCCTTTAATAGAAAAGTCTAGACTTTGCCTTTACTCACTGTGTGTCCTCAGGCAACTCCCTCCTAGACTTGGGTCTCAGGCTCTTCACCTGTAATGTGAGGCGGGGTGTGGGCCTGGGCTGGAGTTGTCAGTCCTTTACATTTTGTGGTCCCCACAAGGATGCTTTCAATGCTTTGCACCTGGGCCAAATGGAAGCTGCTGCATGAGCTGCTGTGTCTCCAGTTGCCCAGGCCAGCCCAGCCTCCCCCGGGGGCCGTGAGGATCGATATTTCTTTCCAGAGGCCTGAAAGAGTTCCAGGGATTGACATCCAGGTGCTGGGGAAAACTCCCCTAGAATTTCCCTACCCCATCCCCCTGCGGGGGCAGCTTGGCCAGTTTACCCACTGCTCCTGGCTCTCTACCAGCCTCCTGGGGCAGTGATAACTCGAATGCCACCTTCTAGGCAGTGTGCTGAGGATTATCTTATTTCATTCCCATTGAAACCCCCTAAGGGGTGCATCGAGATGAGGACATAGGGCCATGGAGAGGATGGGAGACTTGCCTGAGGCCCCACAGCTGGGGAGTGCGGAGGGGGACCTGCAGCCCTGTCTGAACCGGTGCGCGCTTCCTATAAGTGGCTTCTGGAGCTTCTCAACACTCAGAGAGGCCCAGAACCCGAGGGAGCTGTCCAGAGGGCTGCTAATGGGGAAAATGTAGGTCTTGCCATCTTCCTTCTTCCTCCCCTGGGGGTGGCCCAGGTCATCTTTCTCTGAGGGATTGCCTTTGGCAGAGTGAGAGCCGGGTCCCTCCATCTCTCTTAGTAAATTACCGGAGGGGCAGGGAGATGATTGATGGCTTTACTCTAGAAGGCCTTAACACAAGTCACTGACCCCTGTGTGTGACGACACTAGGGCAGCAGACAGTAGCCCAAGGCATCAGCTTCTGGGGCCTCCTGGCCCTGAGGTCTGTGTTAGAGACTTGAGGGCAGGTCCCCAGAGCCCAGGACAAAGGCGGTTGTCAGGGTGGAGCCCTGCCTCGGAGGGCATTTTGGCTGAGGCGAAGCTGCATACTCTTCTGTAGGAGATGTGGGTGTGGGGGTGTTGGGGTGTCTAAAGCCAGCTATGGAAAACCATGTCATACTTGGCTACCTTCCTGTGTTCCTTCTCACAGCAAAACTCTCTTGGACTGATCATTTGAGGTGTCTCCTTGTGAAATGGCTTTGGCCCCTCTGGGCTCTGACTTGCTCATGTGGGAAGAGATGGGATAGAGGGAGTTAGATAATAAATCATGCTTCACTCAGTCAACAGAATACTATTCAGACACTAAAAATGATGGCGTAGCCCTACATATTCTGACATGGGAAGATGGCCACAATATCTTATGTGGAAAACACTAGTTGCATAGAATTTATGGTCTGATTACATTAGTAAAATAAATTCATTTATGGTGGTATATGCAAAGAAAAAATAATGCCAGGCGCAGTGGCTCATGCCTGTAATCCCAGCACTTTGGGAGACCAAGGTGGGCAGATCACCTCAGGTCAGGAGTTTGAGAACAGCCTGACCAACATGGCAAAACCCCATCTCTATTAAAAATACACACACACACACACACACACACACACACACACAAAAAGGCTGGGTGTGGTGGCGTGCACTTGTAGTCCTAGCTACTTGAGAGTTTGAGACAGGAGAATTTCTTGAACCTGGGAGGCAGAGGTTGCAGTGAACCAAGATTGCACCACTGCAGTCCAGCCTGGGCGACAAAGGGAGACTAAAATAAAAAAAAAAGGAACATTTCTATATCAGCTGTTAAGATTGTGACTCCAAGTCCTAGAAAAGTGAAAACAGGTTTGCACCTGTTTCATCAAACTCAAGAATATTATTTGATGGAATGGTCTCTTAAAATCTGCCACTTTTCTACAATTTTCTACAGTAATGAAATTACTGTAAGGCTTGGAGTAGGCATGAAAAAGTCAGAGGTGGTGTTTTTAGGCACACTCCCTTCCCAGTGGTCTGTGCTAACAGAAATGCAACCTTGGCGGTGGTTTACATGCGTAGGTTTGAGTGGGCCAGGCAGTTTTCTGTGGCAGATTTAGGTCCCTCATTGTGCTTGCTATTCAGTTCCACCTATACATGTTGTCAGAACACTGTGCTGACTCTGGGGGCTGAGGGACACACATTGGCTGGGGCAGGGGAACTGGGCGTGGTGGGGATAATAACAGAATTTATGATGTATATGGTTTCTCAAGACAACTTTGAGAAAAAACTTCTGGGATTTAAAAAAATATTTAGGGACACTGAGTGTTCCACAAGAACAAACGTGTCTGTGATATAAATAAAACATGTCGGCCTGACATTGGGGTGAGGATAATGAATTCCAGGAGTTGACAATGGCCTTGCATCTCTCTCTCTGCATCTCTCTGTTGGGCTGGTGCTTCTCAGGGGAGCGGATTGAGTTATAGAGCCTGACATGAGTTTACCAAGAGTGGGAAATGGGCCTCCCCGTCAGCCCGAGGCTCTGCAAGGATGGAGCTCTGTTTCCTCTCTCAGGCCAGAAGCTCCCGGTGACACTGGAGGGTCCCGTTTCTCATCACTGCTGGCCCTGGGGTTTGGTGGAGCTCTGCACAAGATGCCTGCCCTGGTGGTGGGACCACGACGTTGGGGCAGTGATGTGAGAAGATGAGAACAGGGACTAGAGATCAGAGAGGCAGGACATCTTTAAGAGCCCCTCCTGCCTCAGTCAGCAATTCAGGGGTCCTTGGCAGTATGTGTAATGGTAGAGACCAGTGGCTTGGGGGCCATATGTCCCAGATTCAAATCCTGACTCCTCCACTAACTCAGCATCTATACCTCACTTTTTCCATCTGCAGCATGGGGATACTAGTACCTACCTTACAGTACTGTCATGAGTTGGCCCCCATAGAACGCTTAGGATGGTACCTGGGTCGGAGGAAGCTCTTGCTAACTGATAGCTGTCCTGTGCTAGTAAAGAACTGCAGGGATTTCATTATTGAAGCTGGGGAGAAAGCAGGAGGAAGAAGCAAGTCTCCCTTGAGCATGGTAGGGGTTGCGCCTCCCTGCCCTCATTTCTTAATAGCCCTTGGCCTGAGCTCTTGTTTTGCTAGTCTCGGCCCTGACTCCATCTCCCTCGGTTTCAGGTGGGACCATCCGTGAAGCTGGTGCCAGGATGCCCCGGGGGTGTGGATGACCGGCCGCCCAGCCCCAGCACGGCCCGGTCCCGCATGCCACCGCCCCGCGAGGACCACTCTCCGAGGGCCGCCTGGGGCCCTGCGCGCCCGTAGTCTCCTAACCCGGAGCCCTCGGCAGCCCATTCCTGCCTGGCCACCCGGGGCGGAGGAGGCGCTGGAGTGAGCTGCCCGAGGCCGCAGAGCAAGCAAGCGGCTGACCGCGGAAAGACCCCGGGGAAGGGGCTTTGCGGCCGGCTAGAAACATTTTCTCCAAGCGGCTCCGCAAAATGACCAGCCTGTTCCGCCGGAGCAGCAGTGGCAGCGGCGGGGGTGGCACAGCCGGGGCGCGCGGGGGCGGGGGAGGCGCGGCCTCCCCCCAGGAGCTCAACAACAGCCGGCCGGCCCGCCAGGTGCGCCGCCTGGAGTTCAACCAGGCTATGGATGACTTCAAGACCATGTTCCCCAACATGGATTACGACATCATCGAATGCGTGCTGCGCGCCAACAGCGGTGCTGTGGACGCCACCATCGACCAGCTGCTGCAGATGAACCTGGAGGGCGGTGGCGGCGGCGGCGGCGGCGGTGTCTATGAGGACAGCTCCGACTCGGAGGACAGCATCCCTCCGGAGGTAGGGGCGCAGCCCAGGTAATTCCAACCACCGTTGGAACCTCTAAGAAGACCTGGGTTACTCCTCTGTCTGGGTTCTAATTAGCAAGCAGCCTTACTTCCCCTAGGGAAAAGTACCATCCGTCGTCAGTGACCTTATTTTATGGGCAGAAATCATGCAGTCATTCAATAAACACTGAGCACCCACTCAGTGGTGTGTGAGACGTGGCACTAGACCCTGAGTCAGGAGGCATCACAATCAAGGTGCTTGTTACAAATGCAGTTGCCTGGGCCCCACCCCAACATACTGAACTCCACTTCCAGGCCTAGAGTTTGCTAGTGGCCAAGTTAGACCAGATTTCTGCCGTCCTGGAGCTCAGAGTCCAGTGTGGACTAGAAGCGGGAGTCCCGTACTGACGGCCAGAGTGGTAAGTGCTCGATGGAGACGTGGAAGCAGCAGAAAGGGGTGGCTTCCCAGAGGAAGCGATGGCTAAGCCCAAACCCTAAGCGGAGACCCAAAGGAAGAGTGAAGCCGGGGGAAGGGTGTGTAGGCAAAGGGAACAGCTTGTGCAGAGGCTGGGAGGTGAAATAGTGTCTGACTGGCTAGGGAACTGGCAGCAGGACCATCTGTCAGGGTCCTAGAGTGAGAGGAGATCAGTGAGGTTGACAAAGCCCCGACGCTGAGAAAAAAGAGTGTGGCTGTATCCTGGGAGCATAGCCATGGAAAGGTAATGAGGAATCAGACTTGCCAGTTAAATCCCTCTGACTGTGGCCTGATGGAAGCAGTAGTGAGCCATAGCCAAGCAGTCTCTCCAGGGAAGTGACTGGAGAGAGGGGACCTGCGTACTGCATCAGTACCCATCTGCTGGAGGTTGTGAGTCCCTCCCAGTCCCACCCGAGTTCAGTGGACATCTGGCCTCCTAGTATCAGCAAAGCCTGAGGTGCTTGGTGCAGAAGGGTGAGGCACACAGAGCCTGTTAATCAGAGGGGTGCTGTCCACAGGGCCATCTGGGACTTGCAGCCATGGACAAGACCAGGACCCAGCAGGTGGGATTTAACTCCACTCTTTATTGAGTCCCGACTCATGCCAGGCATCGTCCTAAGTGCTTTAGATGTATCATCTCTACTTTTTTTGGGGGGGTGGCGGGAGACAGAGTCTTGCTCTGTCACCCAGGCTGGAGTGCAATGGTGCGATCTCAGCTCACTGCAACCTCCACCTCCCAGGTTCAAGCGATTCTCCTGCCTCAGCCTCCCGAGTAGCTGGGACTACAGGCATGTGCCACCACACTCGGCTAATTTTGTAGTTTTAGTAGAGACAGGGTTTCACCATGTTGGCCAGGCTGGTCTTGAACTCCTGACCTCAGGTGATCTGCCCGCCTCGGCCTCCCAACGTGTTGGAATTACAGGCATGAGCCGCCGCACCCGTCCCGATGTGTCATCTCTTCTAATCCTCACAAACTTTGTGCTGTGGCGTTATTATTACCCTCGTCCCTGTTCTCCATCAGTCATCCTGCAAGGCGAAGTCTCCTTACTTTTCCTCCTTAGTGTGTGCTGCTGAGACTTCTCCTGGGGGTGGAGAAGCTCTGTTGGCAAAGACATCTGGCTTATCCCTGTGTCATCTGCAGCACCCAGGACAATCCAGGCACATAGCAAGCACTTGGGGAGTGTTTGTTGAATGAATAAATGCTGCTGCTGTCTTTGTACAGTTTTCTATTGTCTCTCTCCTTGGGAGACCACTCCTTCGATCTACTTGGAGTAGGTGGTGGAAGGAGTATTGGAAAATATGGATCCTCTTTGTAGAAAGAAGGAGAGAGAGAGTGAGAGTGTGCGTGTGTATGTGTGTTGTCTGCAGATACAATTGACCATTGAACAATGCAGCTGTTAGGGGCAATGAATCCCCCCATGCAGTCAAAAATTCACTTTTTAATATAACTTTTGATTTCCCCAGAAATTGACTACTAATAGCCTGTTGTTGACCTCAAGTCTTACTGTTAACAGAAACAGTTGATTAACATATATTTTGTATGTCATATGTATCATATACTGTATTCCTACAATAAAGCAAGCTAGAGAAAAGAAAATGTTAAGAAAATCATAAGCAAGACAAAATATATTTTCTATTCATTAAGTAGAAGTAGATCATCGTAAAGGGCTTCATCCTCATCGTCTTACATTGAGTGGGCTGAGGAGGAGTGAGAGGAGAGGAGGGGTTGGTCCTGCTGTCTCAGGGGTGGTGGAGGTGGAAGAAAATCTGCCTGTAAGTGCACCCATGCAGTTCAAACTCATGTTATTCGAGAGTCGACTGTATACGCTTTAAGTGTGAACTGGAAAGAAAGCTCTCTGCAAGCTCTGACCCTTTCTGCAGTCTGATTTGCCCTGACAGTCTGGCAGGTAGGGTAGTATTTCCTCCTTTGTCCAAGGCCCCCACAGCCCTATAAACCTCTGCAAGGCTTCACCACCCCCTAAGTAGGCCCTTGCTGTATGTGCACTTCTGTTTTTCTAAGAATCTTGCTTTCCAAATTGAGCCCCCTCCCCTCCCTTGGCAGTCTCCCCAACCCCCCACCTTTGGAACTCTGCCTGGGCCCATAGGCAGGCAGCTCCTGAGCCAGCGGAAAGTGCTTCGGAAAATTTATGAGCCACAGCTGGAATGACAATAACTGCTGAATGGAAAAAAAAAAACCTTTCTGGGGGCTGATGGATGGTGGGCTGGCCCGAGAGGTATCCTTGCCATGGAGAAATATCTCCTGTCAGATAAATGGCCTACACCCTGCCCCCCTGGAGCACCTGGCAGGCATCCATCACCCACAATGAGTTAAGCCAGGAGGCTGAAAAGCCCAAAACTTCAGCACCTTTAGAGCCAGAGGAACAACCTCTTTGTGGCTGGTGGCAGTGGGAGGGAGAGGCCAGGGAGACCAGCAGCGCTGCTGGGGTTACTCTCCTTGGGACTCAAGCCCTGCATTCTGGAGCTTGCCTGGCCGGCCATCTGCCTTCTCTGTGTTTCCCAAGTCCTCTCCAGGAGGCTCTGATGAACGTCTGTCTGGGCTTGCTGCCCTGGGAGGCTGCACGGAGGAGCTGTGTTGGGGGGCCTCCTGGTGTGGCTGGGGAGGCCTGATTGCCCTGAGTCTAGGGGGCTGACTGCTGCTGGCCACGGTCAGAGGAAACCCCAAGCAGCTTCCTTTAGGGGACAGTTTCTACTAAGCTCTCCTCCCCTCCTCAGCCACCTCACTCTGACCCACATCAGTGGGAACAGCCCAGGCCAGCCACCCAGACCCACCACTGCTAGCCTCAGGCCGCAGCCCAGAGCCCTATCTCTCAGAGCAGAGGGGTCTGGGAAACAGGGTGTCGGGGCTGGGGGACAGCAGCAGTAAGTTCTCTGAATGAGCCAGGTACTTGCGGGGCCACTGTCCTGTGCCAGGCACCAAAGATTCGCCAGGGAACAGGAGCAGCGCTTACAGTGTTCTCTTTTTTCCTTTCTTGTGGAAATTTAGGGTAAGCAGAGCAGTGGCCTGCCAAGTGCTACATTCTTCCTTTCCTGCAAAAGCATCTGTTTAAATACTTTCGGCCTCAAAGGAAAGAACGTTAGTGCATTCCAGGGCGCGAGGCCTCCTTGGGTTGAGCTAGCTGTGTATGCGCAGAGCACTGCAGAGAGCACGTGTGCATGTGTGTGCATGTGCGTGTGTGTGGGTATGTGTGTGTAGGTGTACTCACACGCACAGGCTCACCTCCCTACCCACCAGGTGCCCCTGGCTGGTCTCAGAGCAGAGATGTACCAGTGCAGCCTGGCCCAGCCCAGGCTTATACAGGCAGCATGATTATGGTGACTTCTGCAAACTCACTTGAGGTCTGGGGGCTCTGGGGCACCTGAGAGTCACAGCCTCTCTGAGCTCCTCCCATGTTCTTTGATCTTGGAGGAGATGGGAACAGAGTTGTGGGGAGTGAGCGGGAGGTGAAGGTGTAGGCCAGGTTGGGCTGTGTGGTGAAGGATCTCCCAGTCAGGGGCCGCCTCCTGTGGTGGATTACTTGAGGTCAGGAGTTCAAGACCAGCCTGGTCAACATGGTGAAACCCCGCCTCTACTGAAAATACAAAGATTAGCCAGGGGTGATGGTGCACGCCTGTAATTCCATCTACTTGGGAGGCTGAGGCAGGAGAACATATACTTTGATGTCTGTGGAGTGTGCCAGAACTGGAGGGTCAGAGGTAGCCATGTGTTTAGCTGCCCCAAACTCCTCTCTGGGCCTCTGGGGAAGAATCTAAGTTGGTCAGTGGAGCAGGACCCCAGACTTTGCCCAGTCCTTGGCCTCTCCCTGGCCCTCTTCTTGGCTCCTGGAGAAGACAAGAGCTTGGGAAGGAAAGCAGGCATCCCAGGCACTCCCCTTGCTACTCTCCACCCTGAGAGTCCAACCTGAGTGTGCAGCCAGTGTGCCTGAGGGAGGGATCCTTGTGGTCCAAGTTGAAGACTCTGTTCTAAAAAGCATGTGGCTTTTGCCATGTCACTTAGCCTAGGCCTGAGTTTCCTTCTGTGTCAAATGGGGTAATGAGCCATATCCTACAGCACCAGGTTGTTCGAGGTTAAGGTGACATCAGAGACGTGGAGGTACTTTGAGAGAGGGTATGAATGATGTTATCATCAAAGAATAGCGTGGGTACAGGAGCACATGAGTCACACGCGTGCAGCTCAGTGGAGTTTCACAGCGTGAATAAAACACATTATCAGCACCAGCTCAAGAGCCATCATCCCCAGAACCTGGAGTGCCCCTGGTGTCCATTCCCGCCCTTACCCGCCCCACAGAGGGCACATCGCCCTGACCCTTACCACTGTGTGTTTGTTTCTGCCTGTGTTTGAACTGCACATGGAGGGAGAATGCTGCTGTGAACATTCTTTTGGGGACATATACTTTGATGTCTGTGGAGTGTGCCAGAACTAGAGGGTCAGAGGTAGCTATGTTTAGCTTTTTCAAAAAGGCAGTTTCCTAAAGTGGTGATTGTATCGATTTACACTCCCACTAGCAACACACAGAGTTCCTTTATTATACCTGCCCTCCCACACTTGATTTTGTCTAAATGGTATTTAAATTCAAGGAGGGATGATTAATATTTCTTTCTCTGTTGCCTCTGATTTAGATCTTGGAAAGGACTTTGGAACCCGATAGCTCGGATGAAGAGCCACCGCCTGTGTACTCCCCGCCAGCCTACCACATGCACATGTTTGACCGGCCCTACCCTCTGGCTCCCCCGACTCCGCCTCCCCGGTGAGAATCTGTCATGTCTCAGAGCACAGGGTGGTAGGGAAGAGGATCAGTGGCTGGGGCTGTGTACAAACAACAGGAAACTTGGCTGGACCCCTCAGTATATTCTCCAAGAACAGGCTTCTACTGCAGCAAGAGACATTTTAGCTAGATACCAAGGAGAACTTGCAAAAGGTAAGGATTGCAAGCGCAAACATTTCCTAAGTTCCTACTGTAGGCTAGGCGGTGTGTCTCGTACCATATGGGACACAGAGTTAAGTAAAGCTCAGCCTCTGCTTTCTGGGAGCTTATAGTCAAGGGAGATGCCAGAGTAGGAATGACAAACAGGGAATGTGTACTGACACTTCCCCTCCCAAGCCCACAGCAAACATGACTGATTCATCACTGTGCTCTTTCCTGCTGAGTCAAGACAGAGCCTCAGATCCTCCTCAACACAGAACACAGCATTCCCAGCCAGTCATCAGTAATTGATGGAATGGCTAGCTGCCATCCTTGGGCTAGGGATGTTGTGGGGATTTTTAAGCAGTGAGAGCAAGTCTCTTTCATTAAGGTAGTTTGATAACTGGAGGCAGGGAGGTAGACTGCAAGGTCCCTGGAAACTTCTTCCAGGTTAGAGACTGTAATCTGGAAGCTTAAAATGAAGCTAGGCTGGGCACAGTGGCTTACGTCTGTAATCCCAGCACTTTGGGAAGCCAAGATAGGTGGATCACTTGAGGTCAGGAGTTCAAGACCAGCCTGGGCAACATGGTGAAACCCCATCTCTACTAAAAATGCAAAGATTAGCCGGGGGTGGTGGCGCACGCCTGTAATTCCATCTACTTGGGAGGCTGAGGCAGGAGAACCGCTTGAACCGGGGAGGCAGAGGTTGCAGTGAGCCAAGATGGCGCCACTGCACTCCAGCCTGGGCAGCAGAGTGAGACTCTGTCTCAATAAATAAATACATAAATACATAAATAAATAAATAAATAAATAAGCAAGCTAGTTGCCAACAAGGTCCCACGGGTCTCTGGGGTGCTTGTTTTTCTGGGCTCCACGTTTGTGCTGGGGCTGCTAGAGCTGGGGTGTGGCCTCTTTGCCCTAGAGCTGCTGTTTCTTAGAATGGCTCAGGCCTGGAGTGGTGAGGGGGTGCGGAGATGATGGGACAGGGCACCTGCCCCAGTTGGATCTTCCTTTCTCCCCAGAACAGCCCTAGAGCAGTGGTGAACTCTGTTATCACACAAGTATAGCTAGCATTGACTAAGCACCCTTCCAATGCCAGAAGCAGAGCAGGTTCTTTACCTACACCATTGCATTTAACGCAGAGGCGGACACTGTTGTCATCACCCCTATTTATGGACGAGGAAACTGAGCCTTGAGAGATTCCATAACTTCCCTAAGACTAAGAGCTGGAGTTTGAATCCAGGTCATTCTGACTTAAAGCTAATCACTCTTCACTGCTGTGTCCTGTCACCTCCCGAATGAGAAAAATCTCTGTGATTGCAGCTTAGGGAGCTCATAGAGTCAGTCCTAGAAAGCTACTGAGGGAGGAGGGAGGGAAGTGTTTTGAGTCAGGGACAGGAACAGAGCTGGGATCTTTATCACGAATGGTACCAGGAGCTGGCAGGCTGTACTGGAGTGGGAGGTGGGGAGTGAGTGAGTGGGTCTGGGTGAGACATAGGCAGGACTTGCAGCCTGGGATGGATCACAGAGCCCCGGGCTAAATGATTTTCCTTTCTTTGACTTTTTGTTTTTTTGAGTCGGTGTCTCACTCTATCATCCAGGCTGGAGTGCATTGGCATGATCTCTGCTCACTGCAACCTCCGCCTCCCAGGTTCAAGTGATTCTCCTGCCTCAGCCTCCCAAGTAGCTGTGATTACAGATGTGTACCACCATGCCTGGCTAACTTTTGTATTTTTAGTAGAAGGGGTTTCACCATGTTGCCAGGCTGGTCTCGAACTCCTGATCTCAGGTGATTCGCCCACCTCGGTCTCCCAAAGTGCTGGGATTACAGATGTAAGCCATTGGACCTGCCCCGACCCCCACCTTTTTTTTTTTTTTTTTTAAATATTCCAAGATACTTTTGCAAAAAGTTCAGTTTCTACTAGGCAGAGTGGTTCCACCTATTTTTCAGAAGGGAAAACTGAGGCCATAAGAGAAAGGAGTTTTTTTTCTTTAAATAGAAACAGGGTCTCACTATGTTGCCCATGGTGAATTTGAACTCCTGGCCTCTAGCGGTCCTCCCGCCTCAGCCTCCCGAATAGCTGGGACTACAGGGCATACCATCATGCTTAGCTGAAAATCCCAGTATAAATGTGGTATGGATATCCACGCCACATCCTCCCTCCCTACTCTGGCTGGGTGTTCAGCCTGCTGTGGGGGCGGGGGAGCAGGGTGGTGCAGTTCAGTGATGGGAGTCCCACTTGGGGGCAAGGTAACCTCAGCACTAGACCAAGGCTCAGGAGACCCTGTGGGCTTTCGACAAGTTACTGCTCTTGCTTGAGGTTCTGGAGCCTGACTCAGGAAATGAAGGCTTTGCTGGGTTGGGAGTGGATGCACTGAGGAGAACTTGACTAGTGGAGTCAGACAGAAGCAGTCTGTTTTCCCCACCCCTTCCTTCACCTGCCTAGCTTAGAATTCTCCAGGCACCTTTGCAATGTGGCCTTTGGCTCATTGCTTGACCTCTCTGAGCTTTGTTTGCCTCCCCTGAAATGGGAATAGTAATTTCCATGTTAGCACTGAGGAGGACTGAATGAGATGTGTGTGGAGCACTTAGCACAGTCCCAGTTATAGACCAGATCTATAATCAGTGGTTTACTGCTCCCTCCTGTCCCCCAGCTACACTGGCTGGCCTCTGAGTTTAGCTCCAACATTGAACATTGAGACCAGAGGCGAGGCTTCCCCCAGAGGCCAGTGTTCAGTAGAGGCACGGGTCCCTTTGCCCCAGGATGGCTCTGCTAGACCTGGGCCTCTAGGCCATCTCCAGTGCCTTGTCCAGTCCCTCTATCCAAGACATTCATTTCCAGCATTGACTGAATTGCCTGCTGTGTATGCAGGTGCTGAGCCATGTGTGTGATGAGGTGGTGAGGACAGCACTCCTGAACCATGTGTGTGAACCATGTGCTGAGCCATGTGTGTGATGTGGAGGTGAATACGGTGCTGCCTGTTTCCCCACACACTGCCAAGGAGATCAGGGTCTAGGGAAGCCCAAGACACAGGGGCAGGGAAGGCTGCCAGGAGAAACTGATATCCAGGCTGTGACCTGAAGGTCACATTGGCAGTAATGTGGAGAAGCAGAGGACAGGGAGGCGCTCAGGCAAAGAAGGAGCATGTGCAGAGGCCTGGAGGCAGGAAAGAGGGCCCATCTGGGGGCCTCCTGGAAGTATCTACCGGTGGGTAAGGCTGGAGAGGTAAGCAGATCAAGGGCCCTGTGGCCTTCCAGGGAGCTTCCATGTTCTCTTGCAGCCAGCCGGGGAGCCATTCAAGAGCCTTAACCTGGAGAGCGACACAATCAGGTTCATGTTTTAGGATTCTTCCTCTGGCTGCTGAGGGAGATCAAATTTGAGTGGGGGAATGGCCTGGCCCCCTTCTGCTACCTCCAGTCACTGGGGTGCCGAGAACCTGCAGATGGGGCAGAGTTTGGGAGCGTGGGCATTGGCCTGCTAGGGCAAGAGAGGCAGGGCCACCCCCGGGAGCATGCTTCAAATGTCATGATCCCTGGGTCCAGGTTTTGCCTGGATGATGTGTGTGTCCTGGGACATGGCTTGAACCACCTCTGGACTTCAATGTCCAGTTTTTACCAAAAATTTTACCTGGAAGGCCTGTCTCTGAAATCCCTTTCCATCAGGTCTGATGTTCCATAGGTAAACCTAGGGGTCCGATGGGGCTTGAAGTTGTAGTTTTGGGGTCCAGAGTCAGAGACTCTGGGCTGGGAAATCCTCCCGCCTCTCTCCTTCCCCTCCCCCAGCCTGTCCTTCCCTCCATCTGTCTGAAAGAAAGACAGTCTCTGAAACCCAGGGGACCCATCCACACAGGCCGCCTGCTGTTTTTCCGTTAAAATTACAGCCTTGGAAGTTTTTTTTTTTATTTGCGTCTCAGCTCATTTCTGACATTCCTTTCCGACCACAATGGAGTTGCCTGGGCTGCCTGTGCTCAGGGCCCCCTGGCTCACGCAGCTGTGGGCTGACCTCATCTCTACCAGTGCCAGGCAAGGGGCCGGGAGGTGCTGAGCCATGTGTGTGATGTGGAGGTGAATATGGTGCTGCCTGTTTCCCCACACACTGCCAAGGAGATCAGGGTCTAGGGAAGCCCAAGACACAGGGGCAGGGAAGGCTGCCAGGAGAAACTGATATCCAGGCTGTGACCTGAAGGTCACATTGGCAGTAATGTGGAGAAGCAGAGGACAGGGAGGCGCTCAGGCAAAGAAGGAGCATGTGCAGAGGCCTGGAGGCAGGAAAGAGGGCCCATCTGGGGGCCTCCTGGAAGTATCTACCGGTGGGTAAGGCTGGAGAGGTAAGCAGATCAAGGGCCCTGTGGCCTTCCAGGGAGCTTCCATGTTCTCTTGCAGCCAGCCGGGGAGCCATTCAAGGGCCTTAACCTGGAGAGCGACACAATCAGGTTCATGTTTTAGGATTCTTCCTCTGGCTGCTGAGGGAGATCAAATTTGAGTGGGGGAATGGCCTGGCCCCCTTCTGCTACGTCCAGTCACTGGGGTGCTGAGAACCTGCAGATGGGGCAGAGTTTGGGAGCGTGGGCATTGGCCTGCTAGGGCAAGAGAGGCAGGGCCACCCCCGGGAGCATGCTTCAAATGTCACGATCCCTGGGTCCAGGTTTTGCCTGGATGATGTGTGTGTCCTGGGACATGGCTTGAACCACCTCTGGACTTCAATGTCCAAAAATTTTACCTGGAAGGCCTGTCTCTGAAATCCCTTTCCATCAGGTCTGATGTTCCATAGGTAAACCTAGGGGTCCGATGGGGCTTGAAGTTGTAGTTTTGGGGTCCAGAGTCAGAGACTCTGGGCTGGGAAATCCTCCCGCCTCTCTCCTTCCCCTCCCCCAGCCTGTCCTTCCCTCCATCTGTCTGAAAGAAAGACAGTCTCTGAAACCCAGGGGACCCATCCACACAGGCCGCCTGCTGTTTTTCCGTTAAAATTACAGCCTTGGAAGTTTTTTTTTTTATTTGCGTCTCAGCTCATTTCTGACATTCCTTTCCGACCACAATGGAGTTGCCTGGGCTGCCTGTGCTCAGGGCCCCCTGGCTCACGCAGCTGTGGGCTGACCTCATCTCTACCAGTGCCAGGCAAGGGGCCGGGAGGGGGCTGGGCCTGGCCTTCCTTCAGGACCACAGGCCCAGCAGCAAGGAAACTTAGCTGAGAACAGGGGCCTCCTCCACCTTGTCCCCTTCTGCACTTGGAGTCCTCATGGCTAGAGGAATCCAGATGCACCTCTGAGGTTCTCCCTCCGCTGCTTTCCTGGGTGGCTCCGAGGTGTGGTTAAGTTGGGGGTGGGCACCCGTGTCCCAGATGAAGACCCTGAGACCCCAAGAACGGGTAATACCCCGGGCGAGGGTCCCTCCCTGCTGTAGCCTGGGGTGGTCTGCGAGTCCCTGAGAGATGGGGCTTCCTCTCTCCCCATCTCTGGCCTTTGGAGAAAAATGAAGCCTCCAACAGTGGCAGAAGGTGGCAGTGATGTAGAAAAAATTTGGCTTAGGAATGGGAGTCCCGGGTTGTGATGCAAGCTCCTCTCCAGACCATTCCCTCTCCCCTTGTGTCTGTGCAGCCAGAGGGTGGACGAGGCGTGCTGGGGTTCCCTTGGCTCCAGTCTGCAAGAGCTGAGCTCCCACCAGGCACTTAGCAGCTGGTTATCCCGTCTGCTGCCGCCCCCGCCCCTTCCCCTCGCCCCCGCCGCCGCCGGCCACCCGCCCAAAATAGAAAAGGAAAGGAAGTTATTTCCATAGTCAGCTGCAGCCCGGAAAAGCTCCTCTCCAGTGAGGGGGCGGGCGGGATTCCTAGAGCTGGAGACCAAATCAAAGCCAGGCCCGAGAGAGCGAGAGCGGCCCCCACCGCCCGGCCCTCGGCTGCCTTCTCAGTGTGCCGTTTCCCTGACTCAGCGGAACACGTGTCCTGCGGTTGCCACGCTGCAGGCTGCCATGGAGCTGTGGGGAGCTCCTGGCTGGGCTCCGAGCTGCCCTCAGGCCCAGGGCGGTAGGGCGGGAGCCTGGGGGTCAGGGAGGGTGTGTGTGCCACCCCCTCTTCCTCTACTGCCTTGCCCAGCTGTTGGCTCTGCCATGGCACGGAGCTCCTGCCACACACACACCAGGCCTGGAAAGAGTGGTCCCGGAGCACCCTGAGAGCGAGATCCCTTCCACACTCACCTCTCCACACACTTTTCAGAACACTGCTCAGGACATGGCCTCCTGAGGGGCTCCCCAGCACCTGGGCAGGGAGGCAGCAGTTTCTAGCTAAGGAAACCGAATCCGAGAGGGGAACAGGGGCCCACCTAAGACTACCCCGCCGGCTGGTGGTTGAGCCAGAACTGGAGCTCGGATCTGCTTTACCCTCTGTACGGATCCTGGCGTCCCCATATGCCGCCTCTTCAGCAAACCAACATGCAGCAGGCTGTGCTGTTGGTGGCTTATGTGTCTGTTCCTTTGGACCATACCTGTCACTCAGCACCGTGAGCCTGGCACTGTGTAGGTGCTAGCATAGAAGCATGAAAGGATACAATCCCTGCTGTTTTTAGGGCACATTTGTAAACATCTATAGCTAAATCCACAGAGTTCCACATGTGCACCATGGACAGACAGCGCTGAAGGTCTGGAGACCTGGGCGGGCATGTGACTGGACAGCATGAATGGCTGGGGAGTTCGCTGAGGCCGGTGGAGACATCTCCAGTGATGACACAAAGTGACGGGCCTTTGTTCTGGGGGCAGTGGAGGCCATGGGAATCTCTGAGCAGGATCTGACCTGCCTGAGACCTGGTGTGATGGGGCCAGGAGACCTGGGGTTGGGCTTAATGACTCCCTCTTCCCTGTCACCTCCCATCCCCTAGTATCGACGTGCTGAGCTCTGCAGCCCCTACAAGCCAGAGACGCTATCGGAACTGGAACCCACCACTACTGGGCAACCTCCCGGATGACTTTCTCCGCATCCTCCCCCAGCAGCTGGACAGCATACAGGTAACAGGGGCCGCCCCCGCCTTCCACTCCCACCTGCCTGTCCAGCATCTCTCTTTGCCCACACAATTTGTGCCAGCCAGTTTTACTTCCTGATGTTTAAACCCAGGCTGAGCTATTTCTGTGGCCCTGGGTTCGTAGGGAAGGAATGCTGAACTGAAAGCCTCACTTCCTGCCTGGGTCTGGAGGTTTCCTGTTCTATCCAGGGAAGGTGACAGCCTAAGGAGGCTGTCTGCTGCAGCAGTCACCTCAGGCTGGAGAGAGGCGGGCATGGGGTGGCCAATGGTGGAGGGCCAGAGCACCCACCTTCCTCCCTCGGGAAAGGGCCAGAGGCAGCTTCTCGATAGATGTTGGCATGCCCCAAGGTGCCCCACAGCGGGACAGGTCCACCCTGAGGCTGCTGGTGCCGGGAGAGGGTTGAGTTTGGGAATCCACGTATAGGCTGTTCCACAGTTTGCAGATTTCTTTTCAGGACTGTTCAGGTTGTAGATGAAGGTATGAGGTGGTCCGTGGCGTGGAGGAAAAATAGTTTTTAGGCTACTGCTGTGTCCCCTGCAGTGAGGGCTCTGACCTGTCCGTTGGATTTTGGCTTGCCACTAGGTTCCATTAGGAGGTGTGAGCCTCAGGTGAGGGCTAGAGGATGTTGGACAGCGCGTGTGTGCAACCAGAGGGATGTGGATGTTTATGCAACATGTATCCTTGTGTGTACACGTTCAACATGCTCGCCCCCCTCCTCAGGGTAATGCTGGGGGCCCCAAGCCTGGGAGTGGAGACGGAGGTCCGCCTGCCATGACTGGGCCAGGGCCCCGAGACCAGGAGAGCCGCTGGAAGCAGTACCTGGAGGATGAGAGGATCGCGCTTTTCCTACAGAACGAGGAGTTCATGAAGGAGCTGCAACGAAACCGCGACTTCCTCCTTGCCCTGGAGAGAGGTGGGCAGTGCCTGCAGCCACTTCTCCCTGGCTGAAGAAGGGAGGTGATGCTGGCTTTAGCCTTGGGGCTCAGGAAAGCACTGAGCTGGGGGCTGAGGGGCCAGGTGCTTTCTGTCCTACTGAGCCTTGACTCCCACCAAGTTATCCCATGGGAGCCTCAGAATTCTGCCTATGGGGACCTGGGTCACTAACCCACCCCTTTCTCCCTCGGGACTCAGAGGAAGAAGGGTGTGCACTCTTAGGCCTTCTTCCCTTTGCACACCTGCTCTGTGCCAGGAACTGGCCTTGGCACAGGGCAGCAGGGAGAAGAGCACTGCCCCTCCTCACAGAGCCCCAGCCCCAAGGCAGGCGTGATGTGTCTGGAGCTCCGGGAACAGAATGACTGGGTTCGTGAACGCCAGGGTTGGGGAGGCTCTTGAGTGGAAGACCTTAGAGCAGGGGCTCTGGAACTTTGCAGGTATTTGGGTTGTCTCTGGGTTGGAGACCCTGCTCCCCAGCCTGGCTACCTTTCCCCTGCAGGGTGGGAGTGCGTTTGGGATAGAGGAAATGAGAGGGCAGTGGAGCTCTGTCCCTGTGATGGCCACAGCGTGAGAGCTTGTGTGTGTAACTGATGGTGTGTTGGTGGGGGAGGAGCAAGTTGTGCAGGGAGAAGGCTGGGCTGAGGCCCAAGGTTAGCCCCAGCTCTGTAGCAAAGGTGCTGGAAGGCTCAAGGCCTTTCCGTTTATTTTTTATTTATTTATTTTTTTGAGACAGAATCTCCCTCTTGTCGCCCAGGTTGAAATGCAGTGGCTCAATCTCGGCTCACTGCAATCTCCGCCTCCCAGGTTCAAGTGTTTCTCCTGCCTCAGCCTTTCAAGTAGGTGGGATTATAGGCACACACCACTGCACCTGGCTGATTTTTGTACTTTTGGTAGAGATGGGGTTTCACCATGTTGGCCAGGCTGGTCTCGAACTCCTGACCTCAGGTGGTCTGCCCGCCTTAGCCTCCCAAAGTGCTGGAATTACAGGCGTGAGCCACCACCCCTGGCCACGCCTTTCCTTTTAAATGAGAGAGTTTGGACTCTACAATCTCTCCGAGTCTTTTAATTCTGACATTTGAGATGGCTGTCAGGCAGTAGTTTCTCTTACTGCTGGTTCTTTGAGAGCTGGTAGATGTTGTGTGCACTCATATTTTGGGTGCCTGTGTGTGCTCATGTGCGATTCTGGGGACTTAGCCTCTAGCAAACTACCGTATCCCAGCCCAGCCTGTCCCTGGGAGCCCAGGAGCTAACCTCCCTGACCTATGAATGTGGTCCTTTTCCAGATCGATTGAAATACGAATCCCAGAAATCTAAATCCAGCAGCGTGGCTGTCGGAAACGACTTTGGCTTTCCATCTCCTGTCCCAGGTAACTTTGCCTTCTGGGGAAGAAAACCTAGAGGCATGGGGGGGCTCATACCCAACTTTGCTTTGCATATTTGGAGTTTGGGAGTAGGGTGAAAAAACAGATTGTAGGAGGGGGCGTGGGCCTCCTTAGCAGGCTGGTGGGGCCGCTTCTCCCCCGACCTCCATATCCACTCCATTTAGCTGCTCTGGGGTCTTTCCAATCCAGCCACTGCTGGGCTTCTGAGCCCCCATTTGTGATCAAATAACATAGGCTGGCTGAACTCTCAACCTATGCCTTGAGTATAGGCTAGTCAAGGACACATGGCCAGGTGCAGTGGCTCACACCTGTAATCCCAACACTTTGAGAGGCCGAGGCACATGGATTGCTTGAGTCCAGGAGTTCAAGACCAGCTTGGGCAACAAAGTAAGTCCCCCTGACTCTACCACAAAAGTACCAAAATTAGCTGGGCATATTGGTATGTGCTTGTAGTCCCAGCTACTCAGGAGGCTGAGGTGGGAGGATCACTTGAGCCCAGGAAGTTGAGGCTGCAGTGAGCTGTGATTATGCCACTGCACTCCAGCTTGGGTGACAGAGTGAGACCCTATCTCCAAAAAAACAAAGAAAAGAAAAGGACTCCAAACTGCCTTATGGTGGGACTCAGAGACTGATAACTCTTGGTCTGTTTCCTGAGGAAGTTTATGGTCTTGTAAGGAGAAATGCCCAGAAAACAGGTAGAACAAACTAGCAAAGCTGAGGACTTATTGATTTTAGCAAATGCATGGAAGAAAAGGAGGGCAGGATTAATCTGGGGAGTTGACTCATTCATTCATGACGTAGCTGGAGAATATCTCCCATCTGTTGGGCCCTGCCCTAGGTGTTGGAGGAAGAGGAATTTCTAGCTTTGTGTACAAGGTGGTGGGAAGTAAGAATTGCTGGTAAAGAGGGCCAGGCTCTTCTGCTCAGAAGCTCTAATGGCTGAAGGAGGGTTGGATGGGGGTGAGGGGTAGCAGTGCTCCTGGGATGCACAGACTACTGGGTTGAGCCACAGCTGGGAATGACGACCTGGTGCCTGTGTGTGAACAGTGGCCCCTCGTCAGTCAGTGCCCCCTGCCCCATGCGTACACAAGCCACCCGCCTCGGAGAAAGGCTCTTGCCTGGAATAGACCTTGCATCATGCAGTGGAGTTGGGGGTGGAGGAGCAGAGGGATGGGGAGCTGAGCTGACCCCAGCTTGAAGGGAGCAAATCCTGTGGAACTGACTCATAAGCAGCAGGCTGGGCGCTTAGGCCTCAGCAGATGTGCAGCTGGGAGTTTTAAGCAGGAGCCTCTTGTCCTTGATCCTGAATTAACTAGAGATACTGGGGCTGCTGAGATGGATCAGAATGACTCAAAGGGGACTTAGCAGGCAAGGTGACTGGGGATTAACCAAGTGGCAGAACAGAGAGCAGGGGTTTCAGAAAGGCAGCAAAAGACCCAAGCGGATGCCGAGCGAGCCCAGGAGACCGCGTGGCCGGCAGGGTTCTGACTCCAGGACTAGTCCCATTCTATTCCTACTCATTGTCTAATAGCCAGAAACCCTGTGGCTGGGAGGGAGCAGTGGATGGGCTTACCCTGGCAGGAAGGACAAGGGACTTGCTACAGGTGAATGCTGGCTCTGAACCAGCACCTCATTTGACCGTCACATGAATGTCGGGGTGCAGGAGGCCCCTTGTGTGCTGGTGAATGTTTCACAGCCAACTCTGGGTGCAGCAGGAGCCTGATATGTAGTGCTTGGTGACCTCCATGGTGGAAATACTCCCAAGCTACCACGGTGATGTCATGAAACATGGAGTTGGTCAGAGCGTGAACAGTTGGGAGCAGACACAAGCCGGCTCTCCGCACACACAGTAGACCACTAAACCCTCCCCATTTTTACAGAGGAGGAAACAAAGTTCACAAGGGGAAAGAAGAGCTCCTGGAACTCCACATCCTCCTTGCTTTAAACTCCCTCCTGGTCAGGGAAGAATCCTGCTCGCTCTTTGCATTTGTCCTCAGATGGGTGGGTATGGCTGGGACAGCGGCCATGGCTGGCCACACTGGCCGGCCTTCAGCAGGTGTCTCCTTCCAGGAACTGGCGACGCCAACCCCGCTGTGTCTGAAGATGCCTTATTCAGGGACAAGCTGAAACACATGGGAAAATGTGAGTCCCGCTCAGGCCCCGCTTCTCTCCCCAGCTTTTCTGAGACAGGCCCTGTGGCCTCCCAGGAGTAAGGGAGCCCTCCAGAATGTGTAATGCAGCTGACTCTTGGTGAACCAGTGACATTTTCATCACAGGCTGGCTCCCTCAGCCTTCCTACCTCACTTCCCTCTACAGCTGAGTCTAGAAACAAATTAAGTTTTAAATCCTATTGAGCCAGATGTCTACAGAAAAATAACGTGCCACACATGCCCTCACCACAGTCCTCATGTTCACGTTCTCTGTGACTTGAGGAGGCTTGGCCAGAGCTGACTGCACAGAGAGGCCCTTGCTAAGCCTCTGTGGGGGTGGAGGACCTCTTTCCACAAAGTCCTAGCAGCCTTGAATGCCCCCTTCCCTCCCCCTCACCTCCCCGCCACATAGACCCACAGCCATGTGTGAATGAGGCTTCGATCCTCTCAGGCTCCATTTCAGGGAAAATCTCGGATTAGTCATGGAAATCCCAGAACCAACTTCGGAGGTGGCTAGGGGAGGGGCGGGAAGGCGGTGGTGGTGGGAAAGCGAGCCAAGATGCGTTGCAGTGTGTTGCAGCTGGGGAGGGAATACTCGGATCTTGAGCCGCCTGCAGTCCCTGGGCCTGGCTCAGTGTGTCCTGTGCTGCCCCTGCAGGCTGACCCAGGATGCAGTCTCTCACTCCTGGGGTGGTATCCTCAGGGATCTGTGATTCCTGTCACCTCTCCCTCCCCAGCTCCTACCCTTGCCTGCCCCCTGCTCCCACTCCAAGGGGTCTGGGTCCTCCCCTGGCCTTGCCCACACCTGGGAGGAGGCCATCTGGTGTGCTGGCTGCCAAGAGAATGACTCACAGGTCTCTCTGCCCCCAGCCACCCGGAAGAAGCTGTTTGAACTTGCCCGAGCCTTCTCAGAGAAGACCAAAATGAGGAAGTCAAAGAGGAAACACTTGTTGAAGCATCAGTCGTATCCTTTCCAGCCTGGCACTGGTGGGGGTGGTGGAAGCCAAGGGCTACGGAGCAAGACCCCTGCTGAACTCCCTGCAGCTGTGCCCTCCCCTGGGAGTGGGACGAGGCTCTGTGGCCTTCCCTTCCTCCTCCTCTTCCCTCCACGAGCTTGGCCACCAGTCCACTGCCCATCTCTCGTTGCCAACCAGGGACCAGACCTAAGGACTAGGGTAGCAGCTCCTATCTCCCTTCTGTAGGCCCAGAAGTTGTCCTATAACTTTTTTTGGTCTGAGGTCATGTACTTCTTGGGAGAAAAAGTGGTTCTTCCGTCAAAATCAAACCTTCCCCTCATTTCTCTAGTTGAACTAGTGCACGAGTCCTCCTCACTCCAAGCATGTTGGCCCTGCCTTCCTCGAGTAGAAATACGGCTTTGCACATTTTTACCCGAACTCCTATTCACGCTTCTCAAACAGGGCCTCGGATAGCAGAGACTCAGCAGCCAGAGGGAAACAGGGAGGAAGCTTTTTCTCCATCCCCAGAGATGTAAGCGGGGTGAGAGTGTCAGGGCCTGGCCACACCACTGACCTCAGGAAAAGGAGCCCGGGGGACAGTACTAGGGGTGTGGGGGGTCAGGTGGCTGTGTCAGATACCTCCAGAGCCTTGAGGGGTGGGGCAGAGAGTGGGTGGGACTGGGGGGACTAGGGCAGTGTCCTCTCATCCCTGGGACGGTTTTCCTGAATGGTCTGGCAGGCTGGGGGCTGCCGCGTCCACAGCCAACCTCCTGGATGATGTGGAGGGCCATGCGTGTGGTGAGGCTGGAGGGGAGTCGTAAGCTCCAACTTCTCTATGATCGGTGATCTCCCAGCGGAGTTCCTGGGTGTTTCATGGGAGCACCCACCCTGTCCCTTGGAGGAGACACTGCGGGTTGGTGGGCAGGTGACCCAAAGAAATGGATCCCCCCGACTTGGTCGACATCGCCTCTCCCTTCCTGCAACCCCCGAAAGGGGACCCTCCCCTACTTCCATCTAGATGTGTACCTGTAGCATGAAGTGCCAGGTACTGTTTCTGGGGAATATTCTCTTGGCTGTGAAGTGGCAGACAGGCCTACCCCCTTGGGGGACCCTCGGCCTGTCTGAACCAAGAACCAAGCACTAGGCAGCTTCCGTCTGTGGGCCCAGAGGCTTCTCAACTTTCACCCAGTCCCTTCCAAAGGCCACGTGGGCCAGAAGACTGCCTCAGACCCTACTGGGCCCGCAGCGGATCCTTGATCCTCGTGCCACATTCGAGGGTCGGGAGGCATCCAGAAACAAGGACCAGAAGGGCCTTGGAGGTCATCTAGATAGTCCAGCTTTTCCATCCCTTTTATAGATGAGGAAATTGAGGCTCAAAGACGAGGGGAGAACTTGTCCAAGGTCTCAGAGCTCAGTGGTGGACCCTGGCCAGCACCTGAGTGTCCTGCTGCCTCTCTCCCTGGACCCATGCATCATCCACCTGGGGGGGATCTTCATGGGCCCCAAATGAAGGGGGCAGAGAGAGTCGGGTCAGCTGTCTTGGCCAGTCTGGGGCCGTGGCTGAGCGAGGCCCTACAGGTTAGAGGATGAGGCAGCTTCCCTCTCCTTTTCAGACGAAGACTTCCGGGGAAGGCATCAGGAGGCGCCCAAGGTGGAGGAAGGCCTGCGAGAAGGACAGTAAAAGGTAAGGCCTGGAGCCATAGCTACCCAGGGACTGCCCAAGGCCAGGGTCCCCCACACTGTGCACCCCTTGTGTCCTCCCAGGTGTCCAGAGGCGCTGGGTTCAGGCAACTGGGTAGTACAGGCCCCACGTGTCTTCCCTCATAGTTGCAGCAGGGACACGGGAGTGGGAACTAGTCCATTGCATGTCTTTTTTGGTTATTTATCCATTTGACAAAAGATAAGCACACCTGCCTATGACAGATGCTGAGAACAGGAAAACAAAATCAGCTTTGACCTTGAAGAGTTTACAGTCCAGTTGAGAAGACAGTCCAGGACACACACAGCACACTGAGAGGACAATTTAAGAAAAACTGGCTGGGCACGGTGTCTCATGCCTGTAATCCCAGCACTTTGGGAGGCCGAGGGGGGTGGATCACCTGAGGTCAGGAGTTCGAGACCAGCCTGGCCAGTATGGTGAAACCCTGTCTTTGCTAAAAAATACAAAAGTTAGCCTGGCATGGTGGCACGCACCTGTAATCCCAGCTACTTGGGAGGCTGAGGCAGGAGAATCACTTGAACCTGGGAGGCGGAGGTTGCAGTGAGCCCCGAGATCGCGCCATTGCATGCCAGCCTGGGTGACAAGAGTGAAACTTCATCTCAAAACAACAACAACAACAACAAAACAAAACAAAAGAAAAACTGAGGTGGTCTCAACCCGGCTATGCACACACAGAGCTCTTTCCAGCCCCCTGCTTGGGTTGGGTGGGCTGCGATCTGCCACACCAGGATGAGGAAACCCCTCCTGAGGCAGCGGTTTCTGGCTGAAGCCCCGGGCCTCCAAGCCACTTCTCCTCCTCTCTTCCTGTGCACCCTCTTGGGGAGAAAGAGAAAATGCCACGGCCTCCTCCAGGACTTGGCCAGGACAGCTGTCCCTCTTCCAGCCCCCCTTTCCCATGGGAGAGGGGAAGCTGCCCGGCCTTCCCCAGCCACTGGTCTGGTCCCAGTGAGCAGCATCTACAAGGCTTTCTTGAGTTGATGGCGTGGCAGGCATGGCCCTGTGGCAGACCGTGGAGAAATACTCGCCTGCCTCAGGATAGTCACAATGGAGGGAAACCAGGAACAAGTAAATACAAGTGTCCTCTCCCCTCTGCCTGGGCAGCTGGCCCCCACACCTGTTCCTCCTGACTCCCTACCACATCTACCAGGCACTGCAGCCCCTTCCATTCCCCTCAGGCTTTCCTCAAACACAGAGCCGTAGCCCACTTCCCACTGTCCTGGAATGCCCAGATAGAGCCTGCCAGGGAAACGCCTCCACTGTCACCCCACGCTGCTACTGTCTCCACATCCTTCTCCTTCCTGCTGGTCCCCAGGGAAAACAGGTCCTGTCCAAACCACGCCTACATCAGAACCTTGCTCATCATTCATTCATTCATTCACTCATTCATTCATTCATTCATTCATTTATTTTGAGATGGAGTCTCCTTCTGTGGCCCTGGCTGGAGTGCAGTGGCGCAATCTTGGCTCACTGCAAGCTCCGCCTCCCGGGTTCACGCCATTCTCCTGCCTCAGCCTCCTGAGTAGCTGGGACTACAGACGCCCACCACCATGCCCGGCTAATATTTTGTATTTTTTTAGTAGAGACGGGGTTTCACCATGTTAGCCAGGATGGTCTTGGTCTCCTGACCTCCTAATCTGCCCACCTCGGCCTCCCGAAGTGCTGGGATTACAGGAGTGAGCCACCATGCCCGGTTATTTATTTATTTATTTTGAGACAGAGTCTCACTCTGTTGCCCAGGCTGGAGTGCAGTGGCGCAGTCTCAGCTCATTGCAACCTCCGCCTCTAAGGTTCAAGCAATTCTCCTGCCTCAGCCTCCTGGATAGCTGGGATTATAGGCACCCACTATCGTGCCTGGCTAATTTGTTTTTGTATTTTTAGTAGAGAAGGATTTTCGCCATGTTGGCCAGGCTGGTTTCGAACATCTGACCCCAGGTGATCCGCCCACCTGGACCTCCCAAAGTGCTAGGATTACAGGTGTGAGCCACTGCACCCGGCCTCATCATTTATTTCTGTCCTAGGACTTCCAGCTTGTCCCTTTCCAGCTCGTTCGACAAGTTGACATCCTCTTCCTCCTCCCCTTAAATACCAGGGGTCTTTGAGTCTCCCTTGCTATCCTTCATCCTCTACAGGCTAACAGCCCCTCCCATCATCCAGATTGACTCGGAGGTTACCCAGCAGCTCAGGGCCTTAGCCTATTCTGCATTCTTCTGGTGCTCTTCCACACACACTCCCCTGATCTTTCCCGAAACTGCCCTCCCTTGGCTCCTGTGACCCCGAGAAGCCTGGTTCTCCTTCCTCTGACTGGCTCTCCTTGTTGCTCTGCCCTTGACCCTGTTTGAAGTCTTCTCACTGCCCACTCTGGCAGTGCCTCCGCCCTCTTTTATAGCACCAGCAACACTTCTGTGCATCTGGCTCCTACATCTGAATCTCCATCGCAGTTAGGCTTCCAGAGCTGCTTCGTGTCCCCAGCTGCACCCAAGATTTTCTTTTCAGTCTTGGGTGGCAACTCAGTCTCTCCTGCTGACTGCCCCCTTTCATTCTCTTTTCTATTCCTTCTATTACCACCCTGATAGATGCTCATCACCTAGGTCACAGCCCTGTTCTCTTCACTGCCCCTAGCTACTCTGATTATCCCACCATCAAAACACCACTTTAGTTCCATTTCTCCTATGCTCTTTGAATAAATCTTTTTTTTTCCTATTTTTTTTGGGGGAGGGATGGAGTCTTGCTATGTTGCCCAGGCTGGAGTGTGGTGACGCAATCTCTGCTCCCTGCAACCTCCCCCTCCCAAGTTCAAGCCATTCTCCTGCCTCAGCCTCCTGAGTAGCTGGGATTACAGGCACCCGCCACCACACCCGGCTAATTTTTGTATTTTTAGTAGAGATGGGGTTTCACCATGCTGGTCAGGCTGGTCTTGAACCCCTGACCTCATGATCCGTCTGCCTTGGCCTCCCAAAGTGCTGAGATTACAGACGTGAGCCACCGTGCCCAGCCTGAATGAGTCTTCTGAGTAAAGTCTTAGGATCTCTTCAGCTTGGTGTCTGAGGCCTACCAGGTTCTGCCCCCAGTTTACTTTTTTCCACCTACAGATCTCTGTGGCCTAGCTCTCTTGAGCTACGACATATTAGAATGGGCCAGGTACCCTCCCACCTTGAAGCCCTCCCCTATAGCTGCTTCCCCGCAGGATTCCATTCCTCCGCTCCATCTGCTGCCAGAGTCCCTGCAGCTCCACAAGCCGGAATGGTTCTAGGAATTCGAATGGCGGGGATGACCCAGGCAGAGTTCTACAGTTGACCTCGAGTCCCTGGAGAAAGGGGAGGGCTTAGGTCTTTGGTAACTTCTCCCAAAACTGTCTCTCCAGGAACCAGTGACCAGGAAAGACCATTGGGCTCCTTTGAAAAAGACTCCTCCCATCCCCTTTTTCCCCCTGCCAGATGCCAGCAGCTCTTCCTTGCCAGAGATGATCTGAACCGGTGGGGGCAGCTGGAAAGCAACACTGGCCCCCAGCTGAAGGGCCCAGCTGCAGCCGGACAGATGGTGCTTGAGAACCGAGGCCCAGTGATCCTCCAGCCACAGTCCAGCCCAACCACTGCCACTTTCCATGGGACTTAGAACTTCCGAGTTGCTGCCTTGCAATTGGAGGAAGGACCTGGGGCCCCTAGAGGCAGCAGCCAATTACAGCTCCTTTTGTAGCCAGGCGTTCCTATGGTCAATGAGTGGAAATGCAGGAACCAACCTCCCTTGAAAAAAAAAAAAAAATCCAGAAAGCAGATAAAAATTGGAATATGGAAAAGGGCAAGATGACCCCACCAGAGGCTCTTTGGCCAGGAGGTGGAGTCCCTGCCTCCCTCCGTTCCCTATCTGTCCTGTCACAGACTCTGCCTGACCCCCTGTCCCCTTCCTCAGCTCCCTCCAGGCACTTGGGTCCCTCCCTTCCAGGGCCTCCCATATCTCAGCCTTCCCCCAGGGCTGCTGGCCCAGCACACAAGTCCTGCACCTACCCTGGGTGGGAGGTCCCGGGCCAATCCCCCAGGCACTCTGAGGTGCTATGGGCTGCTGCAGAGAGCATCTCCTGACTGCCCCATCTGGCCTCATCAGGCTGCTGCTGTTGGGGATGGGCTCACTCCCAGCAGCTCCCCATCACACAGCAGGGGTGGGGAGGGTGGCCACCCCAGGGTGGCAGGGTCTTTAATTTGGCAGCAGACAAAAGCCAGTTCTGGAGTCACACCACAGTGGGGGCTCACAGGGGCTCTGACTCCCCAGCTGGACTGGAAGGCCAGCTGTCCGAGGGTGGACAGCAGTGGGCCCTGGAGTGACCCCTTTGAGCAGGTAGCAGGGCTGAAGAGCAAGGTGGAAAGGCCGCCAGCCTGGGTGGGAGCGCCTAGGGCAGAAGGGCTTGCTGGGTGCCCCTGAGACGGGCTGGTGATCTGAGGAGGAGAATGCTGATTCTAGGAAGGCTTACACGGCACCCACCACTGCCACGGGGAGGGAGGCTGCCCAGCCCGTGGCCCCGCCCTGGACATGGGAGCGCGCAGATCTTCTGGAGAGCCGGGAAGTCTGGGCAGGCACGAGGCTTCGGCGCGGCTTCGGGAGGTTGGGAGTGGGATCTGATCCTTGGCGCGGCCCTGGTGGCCTCAGTGACCCCAAGATCACAAGGGCGTAGCGAAGGCGAGCCGGCGATTGCACCTCGTCCCACCCACCCTGCCCGGACTCCCGACGCCGAGCTTCCCTTCTCTGGGGAGGGCCGGGACGCGCCGCCGCCGCCGAGCGTGACCAAGTTTGGAAACGCGCATGGGGCCGGGACGCTGGCTCGGGGGCCCTGCCGAGGAGCGGCCGCCCCCTCCACTGCTCCTCGCGCCAGGCCTGGGGTCCTGGAGGGAGGGGAAGGTCTCCGAGGAGTGCCTCGGGTCCCCAGCTCGAGTTCCCGACGGGTCTCTGAGCCTTCCCCGCGCCAGGACGGGCGCACTGCGGGGGAAGCCCCAGCCCCACGTCTGTGAGTGTTGCTTGTTATTTTTTTTCCTCCTATGTGTGGGTTTTTTCTTGGAGCTGTTTCATAGGAATTCCTGTAATAAAGAGTTGGTGTTCTCTTGGTGCTCTGATGTGGCCAGCGGCGTGGGCTGGATCCTCCTGCTCCCTCCTCCCTCCCCGCCTGGGGCAGGGTTTGTCCCCTGGAGCCCCGCGTCGCATTCCTAGGGTACCCCTGCCTTGCCTCGCCCATTCACCCGCAGCGCTCTCCGACTGCACTCTCGAGGTGAAACCTGCGGCACCGCGGCACCGCTGCACGGCTGCACCGCATCCTTGCGGACTGGCCGGCTATGTCTAGCGCTGTCGCCTTCCTGTTTGGCCCAGGACGGTAAACCGCTTGCTGATAGGCAAGGGAAACACCCCTATGGGGAAAGCCAGTCTGTTGCGAAAGCTCCAGACGGCCACCTCCCTAAATAAACAGCTTCTGGATTAAAGGCAGACTGGAAGCTGCAGGGAAGTGCAATTGCAGACTTCAAAGGGAACTCAGAGATTGCCCAGTTGATACATCTCTCCTTCCTCCTCCTCTCCAGCTCAGCTGGACTACCCCTCATCCTCCGCCACAGGGACAGGGCCCTCGCTGCCAGAAGAGGAAGCTGGTGCCGTTTCCAGACAGGGCAGTTCTCAAGGTCGAAGTTTTTCCTTGTGTTGAGCCAACGGCCTTCTAGGGCTTCCAACCACACGTCTTCCTCCTGGGCTCTGGGTCACCGTTGCCAAGGCTGCCTCTCTTGCCCCTGATGCCATGTTTCAGCTCAGTGGCCTCACCCTCTCTCTTCCCTGACAACTCATGTGCTTCCTGCACTCCCTGCGGGGGCCTCCCCACCCATCAGGGTCTGGCCCCACCCCCAGTCAGACCCAGGGGTCTTGTAAAGTGGCACACCTGGGACAGGGTGATGCTCCACATGAGCTGTCCTGAGCAAACCAGGATTATCCTCTAGCCCTGGTTCTCTGCATCATATTCATTGCCTGGGAAGCTGTTCCAAATGCCAATTCTCAGTCCCATCCGAGACCTACTGAGTCGGAAACTCTGGGGGTGCAGCCCAGCAACCTGTGATTCTGATGCACACCACAGTTTGGGAATCATGGTACCAGGCCAGTACCTAGCACTGGCTGTACAGAATTACTTGAGTAGCTTTAAAAAAAATCCAGGCCAAGACCAGGCTCGGTGGCCACACTTACAATCCCAGCACTTTGACAGGTTGAGGCAGCAGGATCGCTTGAGCCCAGGAATTCAAGACCAACCCGGGCAACAAAGTGAGACCCACCCCCGCAAATCCCCGCATCTCTACAAAAGAAAAAAATAGCTGGGTTGGCGGTACACACATGTAATCCCAGCTACATGGGAGACTGAGGTGGGAGGATCGCTTGAGCCCAGGAGGTCGAGGCCGCAGTGAGCTGTGATCATGCCACTGTATTCCAGGCTGGGTGACAGAGCAAGACCCTGTCTCAATTAAAAAAAATAGATCCTGGCCAGCCCTTGTGGTTCATGCCTGTAATCGCAGCACCTTGGGAGGCCAAAGTGGGAGGATTGTTTGAGGTCAGGAATTTGACGTTACAGTGAGCTATAATTGAGCCACCGCACTCCAGCCTGAGTGACAGAGCAAGACCTCATCTCTATTAAAGAAAAAAAATCCTGATGTTCAGTACCCTAGACCAATTAAATCAACTAAGGGTTTTTTTGTTTTTTGTTTTTTTAAAGCTCCCAAGGTAATTAAATTTGCCATCAAGTTTGAGGACCAGCCCACTTGGCAATCTGTTAGGTGTTTTTTATTAGCCCATTTGATCTTGCCCAGTAATGATCACTTTACAGATAGTATAATTACAGTTCAGAGACATTAAGTAACTTATCCAAGATCACAGAGCTAGAATGTCATGAGGCCAGAAAAGGAGGCCGAGGGCTGCCTGACTCCAAAACTTGTGTTGCCTCCTCTGCACCCCTGCTGCTGAAAGTGTGCTCTGTGGGCCAGCAGCATCGCCATCCCCTGGGAGCTTGTTAGGAATGCATATTATCAGGCCCCATTCCAGATCTGAATCTGAAACGGGCGTGCATTTCAACAAGCCCTTCGGATCATTCTGATACATGCTTAAGTTTAAGAACCACAGCTCCACAATCTGACTACTCACAGCTTGGTCTATGGACCAGCAACATTCTTTATTACCTGGGAGCTTATTAGAAACAGAATCTCAGGCTCTGCCCCAGCCTTACTGGATCAGAATTTGCATTTTAACAAGCTCTTCAGGTGACTTCTGTGCACATTAAAGCTAGAGAAACACTGCTCTAGAACACTGGTCCTCAAACTTGCTGTACATTAGAATCATTTCTGATGTGTGGGTCTCATTCCCAGAAATTCTGATTTAATTGGTTTGGGATTTAGCCTGAGAATCAGATTGTAAAATCCCAGGTGCTTCTAATATGCAGCAAGTTTGAGACCCTTACACCATTTTGCCTGTTAGTGTAGATGACACTGGAGATGACTATAATCAGAGAGAGAAAGAGAGGGAGAATGCTTACCAGGTCTACCAAGGAGTGCAGGAGATGAAGCCTCTGCCGGAGCCCCTGACTCCTGGTTAAAGATGGCTATGGGTCCGGGGATAGAGACAGGCTAGACCAGATGACTGCCTTAGCCACCTACCCTCACGCTGCTTGCTCGTCTGCAAGTGCTGAGCTCCTGGTATCCACAAGGTGATACCTGCAGATTTATCCTCTGCAAAAATGCAGAGCGGGACTATCTGAAGTCTGCTCCAGCCAGGGCCCCTTCCCCATCTTGATGATGCTTTGATGTCCTCAGGGATCAACCCCAACTTGAAAAGCGATCATGGGTCTGGAAAATGCTGTGCCCACAAGAATTGGCCTGGTTATTACCAGGCTGGGATCCCAACCCTCCCTCTGTTTTCTTGAAGCAACTGTTTGGAGATAGGGCCTGGGGGAAAAACAGGAGAATTTGCTCTGAAGAATGAAGGAGGCAGGCAAGGTATGGTATGATGAAGATGGTAGCTCTTTATCGAGGGTTTATTGTGTGCCAGACACTCTCCTAGGGTACTTTACATGCATTATTTCACCGAATCCTTCACAACAATTATATGAAATCAGTATTACTACTTGTGTTTCACACAGAGATGTTAAAGGCCTTGCTCAACATCTACCCTCAGTAAGAGGTGGTAGGACCTGCATATGAACCCAGGCAGCTGAGCTCCCGAGATGATACCTAAACACTAAGCATGGTGGGATCAGGTTGGGATGCAGGGGGATGGGGTTAAGATGCAGCACCCCTGCACAGATGCAATCTGTGGAGCACAGAAAGGGCCCACTTGCTCAAAAACGTCACCACAGTGATCCATGATCCAACAGAGTGCCTGGAATGCCTCCATTAGCATTCTTTATCTAGTTTTAAAAACAATCTCTTAGCATTTCCATTAAATGGCAAATATGCTATTGAGAGAGAAGCACATGAACTCCTTATGCCCATTATCACAGCATAGATTAATTTGTTGGATTAATGGGCTGCACCGGCTGGAGGAAGAGTTGGAAATTTCTGGAGGTGGCCAGGTGGGAGAGGGCGGGCATGTGAAAGGGGCTGTGTGAATCGACTGCCACCTGGTGGTCATCTTGCAGAAGTGGCAGTCACTGGCCACTGAGACACCCAGAACGATTTTCCCAGAAGGAAGATGTGACCACCTGTTTGACCTTAGGCCAAAGAGATAGAGGGAAATGTACTTTGTTCACGTGGTCATATGTTTTGTAAAATTTGCAAAACAAAGATATTTTCTTTTTCTTTTCTTCTTTTTTTTTTTTTTTTTTTTTTTTGAGATGGAGTTTCGCTCTTATTGCCCAGGCTGGAGTGCAATGGCATGATCTCAGCTCACTGCAACCCCCGCCTTCCGGGTTCAAGCGATTCTCCTGCCTCAGCATCCCGAGTAGCTGGGATTACAGGCCCCCTGCCACCATGCCCGGCTAAATTTTTGTATTTTTAGTAGAGACGGGATTTTGCCATATTGGCCAGGCTGGTCTCGAACTCCTGACCTCAGGTGATCCACTCACCTCGGCCTCCCAAAGTGCTGGGATTATAGGCTGTGAGCCACCGCGCCTGGCCAGATTTTTTCTTTTTTTTTTTCTTTTTTATTTTGAGACAGGGTCTCGCTCTGTGGCCCAGGCTGGAGTGCAGTGGCTGGATCTCAGCTCACTGCAAGCTCCGCCTCCCGGGTTTACGCCATTCTCCTGCCTCAGCCTTCTGAGTAGCTGGGACTACAGGCGCCTGCCACCTCGCCCGGCTAGTTTTTTTGTATTTTTTAGTAGAGACGGGGTTTCACCGTGTTAGCCAGGATGGTCTCGATCTCCTGACCTCGTGATCCACCCGTCTCGGCCTCCCAAAGTGCTGGGATTACAGGCTTGAGCCACCGCGCCCGGCCAGATTTTTTCTTAAGAGAGCCACTAAGATTAGATAAGCTTCAGGCCCCACAAAACCAGCATCTACCCTGAAGAGTTGAGGCTTGGAGTCAGGTGTCCTTTCCAGAGAGTAAAGGGTCACAATTCTTTATCAGGACAAGAGGATTATTCCAGGGACTCCAGTAGGAGGAATTGTGAAGCTCAGTACAAACAGCACGTGCTTCTTTGCTCTGACCTTGCCTTTCAAAATGTGGTCTGTGGATACAGCGACCAACTGTCCTAGTTTCCCTGGATGCAGAACTTTTAGTGCCAAAACTGGGAAAGTCGTGGGCATACTTGGGTGGGTTGGTTATCCCAACTGCAGATTTGCAGCATTGGCATCAACCTGGAAGGTTGCTAGAAATGCAGACCTAGACCTACTGAGTCACACTGCATTTTCCAAGATCTGCAGCAAATTCATGTGCATATTAAAGACTGAGTTGCTGTGACTTCCCCAGGAAGAGAAGGGCCCACATAGGCCCTGAAATGTATGCCTTCAAGGGGTTTGGTGGGCTGCAAAACCCCACAGAGTGATTCCAACTGGCTTTGAATTCCAACAATAAAAGGCCAGCTTCTTGCTCCAGGCCAAGCTGGCCCCTTTTCCCCTGGTCACAGTGACATAGGCCCCCCAGGGCGTAAAGTTCTTAT